AGCCCGGTCTTACGAAGCAGGAGGCTCGCTCGGTTTGGCCTTGGGCGCCTGGGTTGAAATGTCTCAATAACGATGAGGCATCACTCACCTGGCTGATGATTCGCGGGGCCCTCTGGGTCAACAAAAAGACTTTGTTCAGCAGGCTTGGAGAAATATCCAAACTGTCGTCGCTGTACTGGGAATGTCGAGACCATTGGTCACGCCTTTTTTTTTGCAGTGCGGTAGTGCCGTTGTGCAAGTTTGTTGAAGGCCTCATGGTTCGCATGCTGCAGGGAAAGTTTTTTGTCCTGGAAGCCAGTTCTGTTTGTAGTAATGTGGTATCGCAATTGACGAAGGCTGAACACTATGTGTTCTGTTGCTTACTAGGGGTTATGCGAGTCGTGATTTGGACGACGCGACAGAAGGGATTCTATGAAGGCGAGAAGTTCACCTCTTCCCAACTGATCTTGTACTTTAGGCATCAGCTTAAAGTCAAGATTAGGACGGAAAGGCGGCGGCTCCTATCATCAGAATTCGGCAAAAGGTGGGTGAATCTTGCGCGAATGTGTAGAGTGAAAGGGGCTGACCTAGAGTGGCATTTAGATGTCGGTTAGGCACAGAATATTGTCCTAACAGGGTTGAACGTTGGCAACCCACCCAGATATTAGGTTAGACTAGGTTTTTGTTTATTTAGTTTTTCCTTTTCTTTTCCCGTTTAACTTAGCTAGGGTATGTAAGCTCATTGGTCCCTTTTTATTTCTGTCCCTTTTTTTACTTTTGTTTAATTCCCCATCCCTCCTCGTTAGGTGGTTAGTGATGTCAGTTTTCTGGTGGAGGCGGGGCGCTTTCGTTTCAGGTGTATGTTTTCGTATTTGTTGTTGTGTATGAATGAGTGAGTGTTTGTGTGAATGCTTGATGGTCTGAATGTGTGATCATTTTCTTAGTCCCGCATCGATTTCGTCTAGTTAACTGACATTTCTGCCACATTCATAGTTTGTGGGGGTTTTATTACTAACTCAGTTTTGTTTAGTTTTATTGTAAATATTTATTTCTTTCTGTAAATACACATTTGGGGATTTTTAAAAGTTGTTATTTTTATGACCCTCCCCCCATGAGCAATATTTGTATATATATGGGGACTAGTTAGGACGTCATAGAGAAACTGAGGTATTATGGTGGACGTAGTAAGAATGGTAGGAGTGAATGTGATGTTTTGGTGATTGGTTTATTGTTGGCATGTTTGGGTCAGTGTCTGTGACTAGCTAAGTTTTAGATTAATGACAGTAGAAGACTGTCATTCCCCAATCCCCCTTTTTGGCCTTGTGCCTCATTTGTTTGTAATTTTTTACGAAACAATAAATATTGTGACAGAGAATGACAGTCTAGTACGACTACAAACGTTGGAAATGCCTAAACACGGTCAAAGACAACCAGCAAGATTTTCTAACGTTTGCAGTATCGGTAAACAAGCTATGTAATGATTTTAAACTAGCCGAACTGACTTCCGATGATTTCAAGTGCTTGATTTTCGCACAAGGTCTAGTATCAGCAGAAAACGCCGAAGTCAGACGACGGGTACTGACCAAGCTTGAGAACGAACAAGGATTGACTCTCCAAAAACTGGCAGATGACTGTCAAAGAGTAATATCTGTAAAGTGTGACTCAAACACTATCGAGGAATCAGGTGTGGCTCAGATTAATAAAATCAGAAGCAAGTCTACCTCCTATTCCCCTCAAAAAGACTAAAGTCAAATCTTATGTCCTAAATTACGCAGTAACCAAAACCCAAATAAGTTAAAGAAACCGCCCGGACCATGTTACCATTGTGGTAAATGGCATTGGATGAAATTCTGTCCAGTTAAGAACAAAAAATATTGCAAAAATTGCAATAAAAGTGGTCATACTTTAACTTCGTGCTGGTACGCAAACAGAACGAGAAAACCCAAAAATAAAATTAGGCAAGCTGAATCTGACGATATTGCCGATAGGAATTTAAGGAAATATGTAACTGTGGATATTTTCAATTAGTCCATTAAATTCCAGCTTGACTCGGGTTCCGATCTTTCAACCATTAATTGGTGAACTTGGCGAAAATTGAACAAACCGACCTTATTAAAAACGGATAAAACAGCAAAATCCGTAACTGGCAAAAAGATTAACATTTTAGGCGAGGTAATACTTACAGTAACACTAAATGGAGTTACCAAAAAGCTCAAAGCCTAGTATTGAAAACTTCAGATAACTTATTTGGAACTGATTGGATAGAAAAATTCAATCTTTGGGATTGCCCAATGAGTACATTTTGTCGCAAGATACAAAGTACAACGTCCAATTTGGTAAATCTAAAAAAGGAACTCAAACAACAATTTCCCCAGGTTTTTTCTGGCGGCCTTGGGAAATGTACTAAAATGAAAAAGTTCAAGGTGAAGGACGGTGCACAACCGGTATTAAAAAAGAAACGGAATGTCCATTTCGCTGCTCTAGAGCAAATCAATAAAGAGTTAGATAGACTCGAACAAGCAGGTATTCTGTCAAAAACAGATTTCAGCGAGTGGGCAGAACCTACGGTCTACGTAAAAAAGAAGTCCAATCAAATACGAGCCAACGCGATCAGAAACATGCCGGTCCCAGATAACGTTCAACGTTACAAAGCTTCCACGGCCTAGCTAACTTTTACCAAGGGTTCATTAAAAACATGCAAAATTTGAGAGGGCCTCTCAACCAACTTTAAAAAAAGGACAAACCATGGCCATGGACCCCAGAATACCAAGACGCATTCGAGAAGATCAATAAAACTCTTACTTCAGACCTCTCCCTCACCCATTACGACCCTAGTCTCGACATCATAGTCGCAAGTTATGCATGGGTGCTTGCATTTTACATAAAATGCCAGATGGTTCGCGAAAAGCTGTGGCTCACGCATCAAGATCTCTAGTTCGATCTCGACATGCCCCAAGTCTCTCCTGAAGTGCGACGCTCAGGAAGGAAAAAGTATTAACAGTTTTATTTTTCCTCTCCTTTTCAAAAAGAAAACTCTTGGAAGGTGGGTATTGTGAGACCGGAAACTACCTACACAATAGACTCTTCCAGGTCTATATTAAGTAGGCGACACAGCACTCTAGAGAGTGATTGGGAGTGACAGTGAGAGTCTAGTACGACTACCAGTGTTGGACACTAACATATAGTAAGCTCTGCTTACACTATCTCTGTAACCTGTTGTTAATATATCTTTCTTACTTCTAATCCGTGTTCCGTGTTTTACTTCTGTGGTCCCAATTTTGACCCCAGATCAGATAGTATGGGACCAAATATTGGTTAGAGTTACACAAGTTAGGAAGTTGTGGGTAATCATGACCATCCACATTCTGAAGAGACACGGGCGTAATAAGGGAGGATACAAAATTTTAAATTAATTGTTTATGCTGATAAATATGACAAAACTTATTCGACATATCGCAGAAATGAAACTGCCAGTTATATAAAAAAATATAAGCAGCATGAAATGATCTTAATCGAACTTAGTATCAATAAGGAAGATTTGCTTCCAGAAATTGATCTGCGAAGTCTACAATATGTATTGAACACGCCCTAGGAGATGCCAAATTAGTCTTTGCACTTAAATGTCACACGAGAGCAACAAAGAAGTGAGGTATGTGAAAAAGTTAGCCGAGCAAGTTATCTCATTACTATCAGGTAAATATTCTTACCTCACAGAATGTTACTGATTTCCTCTGGATATGTAAACTTGTGGTCGACCCACTTGCACTAAGGAAGTACACACCTGGGACAATTGGATGAGAGAAAATATATAAACACCTCAACCAAGAAGGAAAAGATAGAGAATCTTTTATATCCGTCCGTGAAAGTGATCCACGTTCGAATAAATCCCCCAAAGTCACAGACACCTACATTGATATTAATTGAAGAAGTCCGTAGGTGAACAAACAATAAATATACGTATGAAAGATGCAGTCTCCCGTTCTTATTAGACTTTCCAACGATAACATTACACTTAGATAGCATGTAAAAATATTAATCAGGGATTTGGAATAGGGATTCACTGGAGAGTGTTAAAAGATGACGATTTAAAGAAACATCCAAATAATGTAAGTACATGACAACTGTTGCCCTAAAGAAGTGTTATGGGACCTTACCCATAATAACATAATGGACTATTCCATACGTAATAAATACTGCGCCTCAAGAGGAAGCAGGGAGTTCCGTATGAAGTCGGGCGACCGGCTGACCGGCTGATCGGTTGAACTCTCTGCCTTCGGGCGGGGAGGAACCCGAACGAGGCTACGCCGAAGGGCGGAGTCTCTTGCGGGGAAGGTAAACCGACCCTGAACCCGTTGATACGGGTACATAGGGCATATTTTTGGCCGAGCCCTCGGGCTCGAAGATCGCACGTTAAACCGGCCTTGTTCCACATGATACCCTCGTGGGGAGGGGTGACTAAATACAGTTCCGTCTGAAGTCTGGAGTTCAGTCTGATGTCTGGAGTGAGTTCCGTCAGATATCCGTTTAGGAGTCTGTCAGTCAGTCAGAGCGAGCGAGTCAGTCAGTCGAGTCAGAGGCAGTCCGAAACAGAGTCGCGTTCAGACAATTACTACTAAACCTGATTGTTCGTACTAACACTTTCTACTTCTCTGTATATTTTCCTGTCTGTAATATATCTGTATTATTCCATATCTGTGTTTGAGTTCTTCTTTATTGGTTCTACCTTGGACTATCACCGTGGTACAAGGAACCGGACCATAACAAAAAGAAAACAATTTGAAGGAATTTTGAATTCCAAAGAGGATCGCTCTATCCTGTCGAAGAAATCGAATCTTATCTCCGTAAACAAATAAAATAGCAATTGTCCCCAACGGTATAGTACAGGATTTCCCATAAGGATAGAACATTGTATTAAATACTGTGGATTAATGCATAGCGGCTCGGATTAAGGAATCGGAGAGCCGAGTTCGAATTCCAGTCGAGCAAACAAACGAAAGAAATGTAAAGAGACCTAAATAGTCTTAGCAGATTCGGACCTCTTGGTATAGACGAGACAGAGCGTCACCGTGCAGTTCCTGGGGTTGTTTCCCTGTGATGGACATCACAACAGCAAATGACACGTTCATCTCTTTTGTTGGTGGACTGGACAGGGTCGGAGTGGACAGGGACCGTGCTGAAAGCGTGGCTACAGACAGATCTCCATCAATGATTGGCAAAAAAGCTGGTGTTTTGATGTAGTTCAGAGAAAAAGTAAAACTGCCAATGGAGGATGTGATTTTTGGATATTTCACTGCATTTTGCACTAGGGGAAATTGCGTTGCACGTCGTTAAAAATGGATCACGCCATGGAAGTGGTTGTTCGAACTGTTAATTTCATCCAAACTAGAGGTTTGAGTCGCCATCAGTTTGACAATCTCCTCAGCGATAGATGCGTTACCTATGGCTTGCTATATCACACCGAGTTGAAGTGTTTAAGCCGAGGTCCTGCTGAAACTTTTCTTTAATCTACGAGAAGAAATTGAACAGTTCATGGAGAAAATGGGCGAACCATTTTTAGAATTTTAATCACAAGAATGGCAGCAAGATTTCGCATTTATCGTGGATATTGCAGAGCACTTGAATAATCTGAACAAAATCCTGCAAGGCCGTAAAAAAGTTGTTATACAGGGTTTTGAAAGCATACGTGCATTCACGTTGAATTTTATTGGCGACAACTGTCATATGGTGGCTCTGGTCATTTTCCTAAAAGATGTGTTTGTGACCGCAGATAATATTGTAATGAATCGGCACAAAATTATTATTATGGGATTGCTGCGAGAGTTTGAGCAACTGTTTTAGATTTTTGAGGAACATGGAACAGATTTCTGTTTTACGCTCGCTATTTACTATCAACGCCTCTGATTTGCCCATCAAAATCCAACTTGAAATGATTAACTTGCAGTGTGATTCAGATTTGAAGAACAAATTTACCTCGGTAGGCATGAACACATTTTATCAGTATCTCTTGCCAAAGTAGTCTAATTCAACAGTCCTTGCTGCGAAGGTTTTGTGCATGTTCGGGAATACCTTCATTTGTGAACAAGTTTTTTTTTATGCAATAAGCAACAATAAAACAAAGCTGCACTCAAGGCTCACGCATAAGCACCTAAATGATATTCTGAATTTGGCTGCTACTCAGGATTTGACGCCTGATATTGATGCACTTATAAGGGAAAAAACATGCCAAGTTTCAGGAATATGTTAAAATAAAAAATAAAACTGTTTTTAAACTTTTTCTTTTTAATTTATAAATTGTATACATTTTCAAGGTAGTGTGATAACTCAGTCTTTTTTAACAGTTCCTACTTGTTCAACGTTTTGCAAAAAAATGTTCTTTAAACAAGGAAATTTTCAGAATGTACTTTTTTAAACTAAAACAAACGGAAAAATTTGAAACTGCAATTTATAGGGTTTTTTTATACCATGAATTTGCTGGTCCGACTCGCTTGATATCAAATTGGGTTGATATGTGGCCCGTGAACTGAAATGAGTTTGACACTCCTGGGATAAAGGATTTGTTCGATATTATATGAAACACCATTTCCCGTACAATCACTAAAGTTAACCAAAGTTTATCCTGGTCACTACCTAGCTTGGTGACAGTTTAAGAATAACAGGTACAATAAGCTTGGATGTGCGGGTGGTGTAATTGTCTCGGGATTGTTGATCGAAGAGATGTGTTCCAATTTCTGTTGTGTGTGTTATATTTACTTACGCGTAAATAGTCTTGAGAAAATTAAAAATCTAGCTCTTCTCTCCAGAAGTTATGATTTAATTAGTAAGACATGTATCATTAAATCAACATTATCCCCCACCATCCAAAAGAAAAAAAAGAATTCTTACAATCTAAAAATGATTTTGCTTTTAAATAACCTGCAAAAGGTTGATAAACCGTGAAAACGAATCAATCAGTCCATCAATCAATATATTAACGCTGGGCAATTCAGGCAGGCTTTTGAAGAAAACACAATAAAGAGAAACTATATATATTTTTTTATTTTATGGACAATGATTTAAGAAAATCTTTGTAAACCTCTTTGAATAGATAGATGTGGATATGCAACGTAATCCTTATATATGTCGCAAACGATTCTGTTATTTCGTTAAGATCAGCTTTTGTAGAGGTGAGAGGAAGAGCATCGATTGCGGAAACAGAGTTGTGTGGCATAATGTCAAGAAAGCTGTAGGAGAGGGCGTAAAGGCATCAACTTCCATTATATTTTGCACTGGACTCGGCAAAACTGCAGCATCAGTATTGCGTGCCGGTCTAAGAGAGTTGCGTGCTTGACAGGGTTTTACTTGATTATCTCATAGGAGCTCTCCACGTGCCTGACCCTACCTGACCCGTTTTCGAGAACAACGCTTTTCGCTCCCTGTCTTATTCACATCACTTCCCTCGCTGCTCATTTCTCATTCAACACACCATTTACCATATCGTTTGATTTTTCTTTTGGGTGTTCTTATTTTAGATTCAGATCAGGCGATTCGATTATTGTTTCTCACAAGGACATATTTTATTGCTTGCCTATTATGACGACCCACACTTTATCTAGCGTTAATCTTAACTTCCGGTTTACCGGGTTAAGAGTTTTACAATCAGAAAAACAAATAGAATCTTGAGAGGCTGATTCCGAAAAAATAATGTCTGAAAAAAGAAACCTCAAGATGATGCGAAGTGGTGACAGCAACGGGCTATCAATTTTGAGGTTTATCGCTTGCAAATTGTTATCGTAGCATCACGAAACGTATTCGTAACACTGAATTCAAGTTACCTATAACGTGACTGAAATAAATTTCAATGACATCTGACGTCGGCGTCCTATTAAATAACACAACTTCGAATGCTAATATTCTATGAATGCATGTTTAAGGCAACATAATCTCCATCAATATACTTATCAGTATATTGCTTTTGAACTGAATGTAGATAATTTTTCGTCAAATATAAAGATAATTTTTCGTCAAATATAAAGAGTGCTTAACTAAAAACTGGTAGTCTTAATTTAGATGCATATATTCCTAAATGTTACTATTCTTCACCTATGTAAGCCTCAAGAGACACTCGAGGAAGAGTGTTACTGAAGGAAGTTGTTATCTAAGCACTAAGAATAAGATGTAAGAGGGACATTTTAGGAGGGAACATTCTTGAACAGGTTAAGATTGTAGTGGTCAAGTAAGCGTCATCTTGGGAGTCGATTCCTTAACATAGCCGATACCGAAAATAAGCTGTTTCAGTGGGAATTATTTCTAATTGATGGCATACGAATTGAATGATGGCAGTTCCCTAAAATGTGCGTGGCATGGCGCGTCTTAGTTGTGAATGTTAGAATTGGTGGAACTAAGGGAATATATAGTGGAAAATTTTACAATTGGAAAAGACAAAAGGAAGATGAAATAAACAGGTTAATTAACTTAAAAGAAAGATTGGTAGATGGCGCTGGTTTCCATCTAGACTAAGCATTTTGTCATCTTGATTGGTCTGCTCTCAACGTTGAGTAGTGAGATAATTGAGAAGTGTCATGTCTAACAATAGCAGGATATTCGTATCGTGAGCAGGGCGATATAATTTTGACATATGCTCGCGCAAATCGTAATGGACGTGAGGCTACACAGCTGCAACAGATTGTGTTTCCAGACAGAGGGCAGCCGAGTCAGTCACTCTTTGCTGTAGTTTATTGTCGCGGTACTGAGGCAGGATCTGTGACACAAAAAACTATGGATCGAGAAAAACCGAGATCCGCTCGTGCGCATGACTACAAAGAACACATTACACAGGCTATCGAAGTCGATCTAGGTATCACTACACATCAAGTGACCCTATCGTGATGGAGGGTAGTTCAAGTTCAGTTCCTGTATCCGTATTATTTGCAACGCGTGCAGGGTCTTTCGCACTCTGATCACTCACCAACAAAGGTTTACAAAATACTGATCCATTGTTTGTCTCTTCACTCCTGTTTACGGTTGAGGCAACATTTGGAAGAGATGGAATAACAAATTTACACAACTAATATTTGTGGGCGGAACGGAATCCACATGGAATCACAATACAAGCAAGACACCAGCATCAGTTTGTGATTAATTTGTCCGCTGAAAAAGTAGGTGACTATCTGGTAGGTCCATAAGTTCTTCCAGCACGTCTAACAGGGACTTAATTTCGAACACACAGGTAATATGAAGACGCATGTGATTCCTGCATGATAGAGCTCCAGTAAATTTTAGTCACATTGTTCACGATAAAATGTCTGACATCTAACATGAAAGATGGATAGGTGGGGGATGACTGGTTCATTGGCCTGCATGTTCCCCCGACCTCAGTAATTTGGATTTTTAACCGTCTGACCACCTAAAACAATTAGTTTATGCAGCAGACATTAATAATTTAGATACGCCTCATTAACCTGTCATAGGGGTCTGCGAAACAATTCGACACCGTGTGGAAGTATTTGAGTGGGTCCGTCAGTAAATGATCCGACAGGTGCATGCAGAAGACATTTTGAAAATTTGTAATGATTTGCTGTAATTTGTAATGATATATATATATATATATATATATATATATATATATATATATATATATGTGTGTGTGTGTGTGTGTGTGTGTGTGTGTGTGTGTGTTCTTTTAAATTAAATATGTGGTACAGTTCAATTTATATTACAATGAATCATTCATACAAAAAGTAAATTAGTAAAGTTAATGATATACAATGGCGAAATCTGTAAGCTATTTGAAATGATACTGAGAGGGCTATGATTCACTTAATTCTTTACTCAAATATCAAATGTCCAAAATTAAGGAACAAATCGGGAAATATGTGAGAATAACACACATAAACCAAATTTCTGATAAGCGAGGTTAAGATTGTTTATCAACACTACGTCATTCTCCAACATGACGAACCAAGGAAAAGTTGACAAGTCTCTAAGAGATGATGAAAATCCCACAACTGACTAGATTGCTGAAAAGGTGAAGCATTCTAAAAGCTTTGTGAGCCAAATTCTGAAACTAAGACACTGTTCGATTAACCACTCCAAAAAAAGTGAGTAGGCCAATGAAAACAATGGTCAGAAAGACAGGATCGTTGAATGTCTAGCACTGAATGATCGTTCGCGAATTGCGACAGGGATTTCACGAGAAATTGTATATTACATTAATGTATCAAGGAAAACTGTGTTAGACGCTTGCAAGAAATAAGGTTTTATACTAGGTGTCCACAGAAGAAGCCGTTCATAAGCAAAAACAAGAAGGCAGCAAAACTGAAATTG